TGGCTGTACTGCTAGAAAGTCTGCAAGCTCCCTGCATTTGCAAATTTTTCCACAGAATCACATTAATTAAGCAAACTAATTAACTGTGGGAGTTTGTAATTTTTTTTAATCAGGCAAAAACCTCTTTCACTACAATGGCAGTTATAACATTCAGTATATCACATTGAAAGATAAATAATCTTATATCTTGCATCTCTCTCAGAACAAGAAATTTCTCATTTTTATCTACAAAAAGGTGATTTACAAGTCTCCAAGTATCAGATATCCTCTTACACCAACCAGCAGCATGAAGAATTTTTACTGGAGACTGTGTGTTAAAAAGTTACAAGTTTATCATTCAGCTCTTGCATGTCACAGAGAAGCAGCAACTTAGAGAAAACAGCTCAGCAAAAAAAAAAAAAAACGTTAAAAAAACCAAAAGCTTTCCCTCCAGGAAGGACTTTTAAATTTTGATTTATTTAAGTACTGAATACTAAGAAGAGATCCAATTCAGTTACAATCCAGGCCAAAAAATGCGGCTGCTACTAAAACAGATACATTTAGAAAAAGAAATAAATGCCTTCTCACAGATATAACTGTCCTCATATTGCTGCTTAAATTCACAGAGAGGAGTTTCCTTTCCCTTGCCCTTCAAAACACAGTTACTCACTCCCACCCACTTGTTCCGCTGCTTCTAGAATAAACAGGAATATTTCACCTCATTCATTAGCATTTCACTTACACTGCCTGAGCACTTGCAGCTCCTTTTTGCTATAAAACATCCATAAAAATCCACACTGCAAAATAGGCAGGATTGTTCCCAAACTGCTCTTAGATCTCCAAAAGATCCTGAACACAGCTTTTGTCAACATCCCCCCAGTCTCCACTGGAAGTTCAAATCCAGACTGGTGGTTCTGAGGCTGGTTCTCCAGGATGAAGCCTTATCATCCACCAGTCTCCCACGCGTGGAGAAAGCAGCCAGACCTGTCAGCATCTCCTCACTATTCCTACCGTCACATCCAGAGATTTTCCAGTTCTCTACTCTTGTCTGCCTCTCTTCAGCTTTGTATCTATTAACATAACTATTTTTAATCACATAAATGAAAGTTAGAAAGGGCAGGAGTAGTTTACTTCCAAGCCCTTCTTTCCATAGATGGATCAGTAATACTTGACAAGAGCAGATCATTGCTCATATGTCAAGGTAAAATAAGCCAAAAAAGGGGCTGCTGCATCTACTCTCTTCTCGTCCACTTACAGTTACACAGTGAACCAGTTCAGGGAGACACAGCAAAACCATCTCCTCACAAAACAAAATATATATACGCATGTGTGTGTGGAAATAAGGCAATATTTGGTAGACCACATCCTGGACCCACCTCACTGTGCAAACTGAACAAGCCTCAGAGAAAGGGACAGAATAGAAGCACGGAGCAGCCCTTGTTTAGGATACAAAGTCATCTGTACAAAAGCAAATAAATACATCGAGGGGAAAAAAAGAGGTGTCTTCTGGAAAGTTTACAAATGCCTGCCGATCTTTGGAAACACAGTAGCTGTTTGGAAGGACAATCCCCATCACCCCAAGAGCCAGAGAACCTCTTTCTAGCCGAAATGTAACCTGCAGCATGACCCTCTCCAATATGACCAGGTTCACAGGCAATAAGCTACGTGCCACAGATACAAGATGTGTGCTCTTGAAAATGACAGGCAGGCACAAGAGCTCACAGAGTCCATCTTGTGCAGTCCATCCCAGCTTGGGCAGCATTCTGGGCAAAATATGCTGTAAAACCACAGGGCGAGAATGCACACTTCCATTGCAGAGGCATTGGCAAACTTGGGCTTTTTATGGGCTTCCACTGTTCTGTTCAGCAATGTATCATGATATTTACTTGCATTTTGAGCAAGCAGATTTTTATGCTCTAGCTACACTCTATTTAGTGTTTGGTACATGCTAGTAGGAGGATTGACAGATTATGCATTGTTTTATTATAGACAACAGTTTTCATCAGTGCAAATTACTACAAAATGACCAAGAGAAAACATTATTTATTTTCATGGAAAAGATCTTGTTGCCATTGAACTTAAGTGCTTAAGAACAGATATAAGGTGCTGTCACAATACATGACTCACCAGGTTTCTTCCCTAAGCTTCCCGTTTTTCCAGCTGCTCCAGGAGCCTTGAAATAGAAAGTAAGATGTAAGTTTAGCGCTCATATTTATTTCTCCAGTATATGAAAACTACTGACTATGCTTCACTTTAACACACTAAACAAGAATGTAAGTAAAATACTCTCACAGAAGGATTCTATTCTAACCGAAACCCTTAACATCTTGGATGGCAATTAATATATAGGAATAAATACCAAGCAGCGTATGGAAGTGGATGACTAACTATATAAACACGTAGACTTCTTTCCTGAACTTTTCTTCCTTTCATGGACTGCAAATACCAATGTAATTCCAAATTACATAGCATCCAAATTGTAAATCTGCACATCTACAGAATGGGAATTCTGTCAAGTTGAATTAAAACAACAACAGCATTTTTCAACTCTACAAATAGCTGGATTGCATATGAGCCTAAAAAACTAACTGGACATAATTATTTCAATATTGTCCATATCATCGTTCTGAAATTTCTTATACGGCACATTGGCACAGTCAGTGTAGTCACTGTAACTTTCAGAAAAGTCATCTGAACTTTGTAGGAGGTGTGTGTTGCATCAGTAAAAGCCCCACCACCATTTCTGTGCCCAAGTGAGAGCACAGGAGACTGAATAGCAAGGTACTGTCTAGCTGTAGCTATTTCCTCTGAACCCAGATGGGGTGAGATGAGAGATGAACATCATCATCACCCAGGACAAGAGGTTTGCAAGAAAAGCCTTTGAACAGCCACAAGAAATCCAGTAAGCAGTGAAACGAGTTCAGTTCAGCTATGTACAGGAAAAACAGTGATACTGAAAGATGAAATTTAACTTGAAAAGCTTTCATAATTTACAAACTCAAACTTCTCTTCCTGGAAAATAAATCTTTTCCCTTGAGACCAGGAAGAATTATCTACCTTTCTTTATTTTAATGCACTCACAGGTCTACTCACAGACACGCAACTAGAGCATTCAAAACAGTGCATGGTCTCAACTCAGCTCCTTGCATGCTCTCCTTCCTCAGTCATCTTCCAACCCCTTTAGTCCCTTTATCCCTGCCTAGGACAGCTTTCCCCCGCCCCCTAAACAGTTACTTCAGTCTCTTCCCAGCACACTGCCAGTATTAACTTCTGCAATAAAAAAGTCTGATATGGATAACAGCAACATAACAAATCTAAACCGCGCTTTGGTCACAAATGTTGAATAATCACAAATATCCTCTTGCTTTCAAGCAAGGCTCCCACTTCCTCTCAAGTCCTCTCAACAACTTCTTTAGGATCCTTCTTGCAAACTTGGAGCCTACCTCAAGTGACCTGAAGGTCTTCACAGAATCCTAATTCCTCCATGGAAAAGAGCAGTTTCATCCTCAATATTTTCCATGTTAACTTGATGTTTTGAAAACTTGGGGATTCTGGCAAAAACTAATATAAGGAGCAACTGAAAAACTAATTAAATGACTGAGAGAACAGGGCCATTTCTAAAACATGTATTGGTTTTGAATGCCTCTATAAAACAGATTATTAGATAGACCTTCAATCTGACTTGAAGATTATATAGCTACTCTAAGGCATGCGTGTTTTGAACATCTTTCAGAAAAGCTACTAAAGAAGCCTGATCTTTCAGACTGAACTATAGCACCTCACAACACTGTATTAGTCAAGCCAACCTCAGCTAACTGCAGAAAATCCATCTGAGTTGGCACTACTTACCTCACAAGCTGTAACTGGTCTCAGAAGGTAAAAGTGGGGGATGGCAAGAATTATTTTTTTTTAAATTTGGTACCAAAGCACCTTACATACTTCTAGTGTACCATGCTTCTCCTTGACATTTTGCAACTTAAGTCTAGGAAAGGATTGTATAAAGTGGATGCTTTAAGTTAAATGATACTTGAAAACCGCTGTCTCAGTGCTATGTTCTCGTCATTGTAAATGACTGATTATAGTTACTTTCTACAAGGCCAGCAAATCTTCCTTTCTCCCCTATGTTCCTTTCTTTGTCATCAGTTATCCACCTTTCTCTGCAACCACTGTGACCTATATTAGCAAAAAAAACCTGAAATAGGAAAGCATCATGCAAAGATCAGATACAAAGACTAAGTTTAGGTCTGGGGACAAGGAGAAGATGGTCCAGACAAAGTGACTGTGACTCCATAGACAGTCTCAAGTAGGGAAGATTACAAGGTGTAGAACCAAATGTGACAACTGGCACTGATTTGGCAATATCAGGAATTAATTTCTGGTTTCTGGTAGAGAAAACCCTCCTCCCCCCTCAACAAAGAACAAGCGCTTAGACCTTCAGAGAACACACTCCTTCAAAATATCACTTAGTCAACATCCACGTTGCCAGATTAGGAGCATATGGACAGATAAAACACACTGTGACACTGTATCTTTACAGTTAACTAGTATGGAGATTATTTTAAGAGAGAAGCTTCAAAATCACCTTGACCAGACTGAGTCTGAATTCTGTTTGAGGATTCTCTGAATCCTTGGTAAAAAAGCAGAATACATACATAGGGAAGTCCTGAATAACTATATTAATAAACAATGCATTTAAGATGGACACAACCTCTGGCCCACTCAGTAGATGGAGAAGTATTTTCTATTATTTCTGTTGAGAGAAACACAGTGGAAGAGGAACTATCCCATTCTATTTCCCTTTTGCACACCTGAGACATGAACTGCATTAGATGATATTTTGTGACAAGTGATAAAGTCTCTTGAAGTAGCAGAGCAGAACTTGTTTGTTAATGTAGTAAGACACGGCAGCAGAGTTGCCAATTGTGTTGTACAATAACACCCTGAGAATCCAGATTAAACACATTCAGACTGCTATTATTTTCAGAATATTTGCATGAAGTTCCATGACGAGAGCTATCTGTATGTCTGTGTTTCCAAGTCCACAGTATAAGCTCTGTACCATATGCAGAGGTAATTATCACCAGTCTCAAGAAAGGCAGGGTAGAATAAAAACCTGTTACAGATCTGCATCCATACCTCAATCTAATGAAAAGTCTGAGAATGGACCAGTGTTGCAGTTTAGCTGAAGAACAAAGACTTTCACTCTGTTAATAAGTTTAAACTTTAAGGAAAGGAAAATAGTTTAATTTAGCAACTTGAGGTGAATGGGTAGCCTGGGACTAGGTACAGAAGAACAGATTTAAAAAAATTCTTCTGATGTATAAGCCATTGCTATTTTGAGGCTTGCAACCATTTCTACAAATTCTATGCTTGCTGTTGAAAGATCAGCACTGCCTTTTTCTTTGGGCCTAAGTCAATAGTGCAGAACACATAAAATTAATAGACTCTTTTAGTAACATTTTCCACAATAAGCCAGCTGTCCAAGCACAGCGGCACATCTGAAAGTTAACAGACAGCCACTATTGTGAAATCCTTTGTAAAAACTGGCCCTGTGAACAAGCTGAATAGCAAAACACTGTACGTGTAATGGCAATTATCCACTTGGAACAAGACACATGTCCTGCGGGCCATATGAATCACACTGAAAATAAGCATCCCAGATATTCGTACATCCATGAGCTCTGTGCTTTTTCCTCCCTCTCTCATCAAGATTTTATCTGACGTTGTGATTTTCACCAGCAAAAAGGACAGTTGGAGCACTTTCTGATGAACTGCACTTAGCTGTTTCAGCCTCAGACAAGTTGAGATCAGAGAAACATCAAATTGACCTCTCTAATAAAAACAGTTTTCAGTATTCAATGTCTATTTCTGAGTCCTCTACAAAGATTTGCCAATATGTGTGCCTGTTGCTCACCAGACAGGATGAGCCTCCAGTCCTTAAAGGCACACAAAAGGCAGCTCTGCACACCTGAATATAAATTCCCAGGTTTTAAGACTAAACTCTGTTGAGAATATCTCAAGGGAAAATAAAAACAGTTCCTTCACAAAAGCTAAAAGGAAACTTAACATTAACTAAGAAGAATGTAGCTGAGGTTAACTAATTAGCTACTACTACTGTCTACTTATGAAACAGGCCTCACAGGGTTTTAGGAAGCTGACAGTGCAAGTTCCTACTCACCAACTACAACATAAACTTCCAGGTAATAAAAAGAGACTTAGGGCACAGTTTCACGATTACAAGATATTCCACAGGTTAGGCAATTATCCGTACACTTGTTCCTATACCTCTGTGGGGCAAGCCACCATCTTTTTGATGTATATGAAGAACTACTCACAGGGCTGAACTATAACCCACATCCTGGAGTGCAAAAAGGGGTGCTTTTCTCAACCAGGCAAGTTCCCTGATACAGACCCACATACACCTTCGCTGCCACAACTGAAGGGATGTTGCACCACTCAGAGGAGGAGCAAGCTTCTAGAACCGAGGACAGAGAGTTCAGAATTTCTTGTCTGGACTCTCACTGACTCGATGATGTTAAAGGTCTTTCCAACCCAAACGATACCATGATTCTATTCTATGGAACTACAGTCTTAATGTGCACAGAAGAGCGTACCTCACCACACAAGGGAACAACTAATCAAAACTGGGACAGGACTCCTCCAGTACAAGACTGATAAAACCAGTAGTGCTCAGGATTGAAGAGAATTGTTACGATGCAAAATAGAGATGAGAAAAGTTTCTACAATGTTTCTACAAGCAATATCACAATACTATTTCTCCCAAGGATTGCAACACAAAATATCATTAACTACAGGGGTTTTTTTAATCCTGTCTCAGAGGATGTTATTGAAACTTCTCTACTATCTAGAAATGTATTATATAGAGGCTTTCTACAGCTATATATTTCACTGCAGGATTTATTCATCGTCTTTTCCACCACCAAAAATGTTAAGGAGTGACGTTGCTCAGGCCCTATATTGCAGACACAGTCTTTCATTGAGTTGTGTCATATACACACAGAACACAACACTTGTGAAAAAAGCCTTACCACTTACATTTCTAAATATCCAGTAATTTTTACTTATTTACTTTTAAAACCCCTGTTATTCTTAGAGACATAAACAAGAACTCATTCTCATCAAGAGATTAGTATTGTATTCAACTACAACCCTAAACTAATTACTACTAGTAGATTAATTTTATCCTCAAACAGAAAAAAAATCTTTCTTTAGAAAGCATGAAAAGAAAGAAAAAAAAATAATATGGACTCATTCTAATGGATTATTCCAGGATAAAAATCAGATGAAACAGAACCTCTACTATTCAGTCAAGAACATTCAAATAAATACATTAGTCAGCTAAGTTTTGTTCCCCTTATTTGCAAGAAAGTGAAAACAGGGAGAAAGAAAAAGATAACAGAATGAAATACTGCTCTATCTTTTTTTCAAAAGCAGTAAGATATAACTGTCATTTAAAAAGTAGTCACAGTTATTCTGATTTGGCTTTACAAAATGGCCAAGTTAACTATTAACATACGCAAGATTCATTTTAACATATGATCCACAAATTTATTTACGACATTATGTTGTAAAATGCAAGTATTATCGTTTTCCCTTTCCAATCTCACATTCAGTAAAACTGCAAAATATTTTTTCTTCCTTTATAATGCACTGAGTTGCAACTGTCACTACAGCGCCAAATAAAACATACCTCCCCCAGCTCAAATTTGTAACATTTCAGTACGTCTCTACCTCAGAATCTTTGAGTCTCACATAATTAGATGGGAAAACTCCTGTTTTATCACCCAGTGTTCCTGTCCACCAGTCGCCATCTTTCTTTGTCACAAGAATCATATCACCTTGTTGAAAAGTTAGGTCTCCTTGTTCAGAACTCTCATAAGTATACATAGCAATATACTCTGTAAGAGGGAAATATAGAACATGGGAAAACACTTGATAAACCGCTCAATTATAATTTGCAAAACCTAACTAATACAATGTAGGCTATCCACAGGCTAGAAAGACGACAGATCTATTAATTACTACCTAGAGAAACCTCAATATTTAATGCATTAAATGGTATCTATCAGAACTAAACACAATCTATGAAAAGGCTGCTTCTGAGGATTTTTTTTGTAACATAATTTTCTAGTATAATTAAAATGTACATAAGTTATTATTATATATCAGAAACCACTCTGAAAACATGTTTTCCAATGATTTCTGTTTTGTGCTGATGACTAGAATTTTCAGTCTTGAGAATGTAAAGTGTCAGTATCCAAATATCTGTCGATACAGTCTTCGTTTTACACATGTGGTTACAGGGCTCTCATATACAATGGATTCTTTCATTTCTTGAAGCTTTTCACGACAGGCACACATCTCATTGCATCTTACGCAACAGATGGCTGGGAAATGTTAAGACAAAGCTTGAATGTGTTCTGTTTTGTTATAACATAGTCAACTACTTAGTATTCATGTGCAAAACCACTAAAGTAGACTGATGTTGAGAAGCTCAATGCATAGTTCAATCAAGGAACTACACAAAAAATTTTACATAAATGACTACAGTGAAGAATTTCAGGCAATTCGGCAATATTTTCTATACAACCTGATACATTCTTGTTTAACTGAGCATTATCACACTTTACATGGGTACAAAACAGATTTCTGAAGATTATATCCTCTGCTTCTAGAGCCAGCTCTGGACCTAAAAGCAGTTCACAATATTTCAGGAAGACTTTCATGCATGTGTAACAAAAGCATTCAAGTATTCCACTGCAGCTGGCAATTGTTATATTTGCTTGAACACTAAATTTGACCAAAAAGCTTAGCTGGGGGAAGTTCAGCCAGAATTCTAACCACAGTTACCATCCTTAATGAAAGCTAAGACATGGTTTGTCTAACAACTGCAGCTGAAGAACACACACGTCTGTTTGTATGCACGTACACACACACTAAATATCACAATGTATGAAATACACATGGAATTTTTCTTAAATCCTTTAAAGGTAACAAAAGATGCTAAATCCATGCTTTATTTCTTAAAAATACAGGGTTTTTTGAAGTGTTTTATTAAAAAGTTGTGTTCCTTTTTAATACAAACATATGACCTGAGATATCCCATCCTTTACAAAAAAGACTCAGCATTTCTACAATTGCTTTTCCTCAAATATACAGTGAGCAAGACTAGTTGTACTTTGATATAATTGATTGTCTCACTTTCCTTGTGAGAAAGACATGTGGATCTTTACCATTCCCTCCTTTTAATTTCTGTAGTGCTCATGCCAGTGGCAAATTAAATACATCAGTAACCAAACGACTCTTTCACTTTAAATTGTATATAAAATTGTAGTTAAAAAACTTAAGTGTGCTGTAGAGAGATTACATACAAATGTTCATTTGTAACCTATATTAAGATTCATTGATTTACCCTGACTGTGATTTAAACTAACCTAGCTGACTCTGCACTGAAGTGGATTAAGCATGCCCACACAGCCTGTTACCACAGCTGGTGTGGAGACAGGAAGCCCCAGCTGAAGGGTGGTAACAGACAGGAATGGAGTCTTTTCAAACCCCTCAGAGGCCTGGCAATGAGCTGCCTGTGCCCCAGGCTCCATCTTGAAAAATGAGGGGTAGACTTGGCCATAAGGATCACAACATTCTATAACTGATTGTAATTTCCTTAATTAAGAGCTTTAATAAAACATTGAAAATGAGCTCTGGGTGAAATTAAGATATCATGAAGTACAAGTACAGATGTGCTTACTTGGCTCTCTGCACAAACCCATTCCAGAGCAGGAACTGTTACCAAAATATTCATACAAGAAACAGTACAAACTACAGAAGATATTTGAATGGCATATGAAATTATTTCTTATATGCACACAATCTATAAAAATTCTTACTACAGTAAATCATTCTAGAGGCAAATTGATTTGCACTTCAATTTTAACAGGTCCGATCCTAAAACACTAAGATCTGATTCTAATCTTGTTTCTGGCAGTAAGCAGAGTTATTCTATTTAATTACGTAGTAGAATACTATTAATGCCATTCAGTTTGAAGTGCTTACCTTCACCTGACACAGTTGCTTTTGTTGCTGGTGATGCTACTCTTTTCAGACTAGCAGGACTTTCTGAGGAACCAGAATCCATGCTTTAGAAGAAAATAATGGTTATTTAAGAAATTCAATCTCTTCAGAAAAATTATTATTATACTTAAAAAGTAAGAAATGCATATGTATCCACAAGCAATTCCATATATTTAAGAAGAAGAGATGGTAAATGTGCAAAGTAAAGCTTTTAAGTAAAATGGCCAGTCGTGGTTACATTTAGGTAACTGCACCTCCTCTTCTCCCTCAGAAAAGAAAAAAAAATCTAAAATAATTCTAATTTGTATTGCTAATGTTAATGTTGCCCTTGCACTACACAGAACCAGATTTTGATAGTTTCATCCTCCAAGAATAGTGATAAGTGATTAAGTTTTGAGGTATATCTGGGGAAAAAATAAGCTATGAATTACACAATTGTAATTCATGAAATCAAATACACTGATTTTTCAAGTCATATAAAATCAAGATCGTTCTTTATGCTTTAGATCTTTTGTTGGTGATGCATGATGCAAGAACTACTGAGGTCAGTTTTCTTACTCCTCACACAAATTTCCAGGGTTGGAAGTCAACCCAACTCCTCAAAATAGAGTCATAAAAAACATTTTTACAAAGTAGATTCCTAACTTTAAAATTCCAGCACGCAACTGTTCATATTTATCTAACTATTACAGTATAGAAGTAAAGTACAGTAAAAGCAAATAAAATACCTCGTTGACTTCCTAATGGGGCCTGAAATAAGCTTCACATACGATTTAGGAAACCACCCCTTTTGTCCTTGAACCTCTCCAAACCACCACATATCTTGCTGCTCCAAAACCGTGATGACATCATTTTTGTTGAAATTAAGGTGGTTGTCTTTTTTTGCTCTCCAGGGATACAAAGCCTGTGCTTGAAGCCCCTCCACTTTTTCGCCCTAATACAGTTTGGAAAAAAAAAAGAAAAAAATAAAGAGAGCAGTCAGTTATGCACCACGTTTCATAAAGAAAGCTGCTTAAGGAATTATATTCTTATGCTATTTATATAGCAACAAAATGCAGAATCTCCCTCAACTGTATATAAAGCAAAGTAAGTAAATTAAACTTACAAAGTAATACCAAAAACATTCACAGTCCTCCTACATCTCTATCTGTTAACACATAATCAATACAATGCAAGAGTATCAGAGGTTTTGCTTAACAAGTCAAATAACATTTTAAAATTGTGATATACAGGTAATAAACCTTCATGAAGCTATTTTGGCAGGACTTTACTGTAACTTCATAGAAAATGATCTTTGCTGCAAGTTACTCATTTCACATTCCAACTTTTTTTTTCTCTAAATACTAAGATATTTAGCATTCTTCAGAACACACTGGCTTAGAAGAACAGTATGTTGTTCAGTTGAGGAAAAGAAAATGCCTTAACAGATGGACAGAATTCATCTAATGTGAAGCTTTGACATTGCTATCCCACTTAACTACATAATCCACTTTGGAGTGTGGGTTATTGTCATGTGGTTCAGGAAAGCCCCAGGGAAGTGACTCAAAACTGGCATCCTGCCCAAACCTTAAGACTGGACCACCAAAGTCTAAAAAAGTCACCACAGAACAGAACAAAAACCACTTCATGTTAAATTCTGCCACTGATTTTGCAAATGGATGTACGCTAGCTGTTCATCAATCCAAACTGAAATAGCTTATCTATCTCAGGGGACTGTTTTAATGCACGGTCGATGTTCGTACTTCGCTTTCCAAATGTTTATGCTGGGTCAGAACAGCTTTGATGAATGTATGCGCTCACCTGACCCAAGACAGGAGAGGGAGATGATCCTGTAACAGTGGCAGGAGTAAAGGCTGATCGCTGCCGCAGCTGCCCTGCACTGGGAACAGTCAAAGATGGCTGAGCTGCCCAGGCATCCCAGTTATCAGTCTCCGGTTTCTCACTAGTGTTTGCTGGCCATCTGAAAAAAAAATAAATAAATAAAATTTGACTGACATTTCCTACCATTTTCAACTGAATAAAGACACTTGTCCAAGACAAATGTGCAGAAAAAAAAAAAAATCTACATTCTAGGTTAAATAATTTTAATTGAATATTCCATGAGCATCATAACTCTCAGGTGGAAGTACTGCAATCAGACATAGGCTAACAATATATTTATCTTAAAAAGGCAATCTCTAAATACAGCTGCTTGTCCTTGCTACTTAAGGCCAGCTGTTCTTATAATTTAGTTTCATTATTTTAGCTGCATCCTAATACACCAGAAGTTCCAATAGTGCAGTTTATATTACACACAGTGGAACTCAAAAAAAAAATAATTTAAAAAAAAAATCACTCTCTTCAGAACTGCTTTGGAACCTTCACACCTGCACACCACTGACCTCTTGCATCCCCTTCCCTTAGACATTTTGCTGCTTCTCATTCAAATCCGTACCTTTCTTTCTCTTGCTTATAATTATTTCCTCCTGACTTCTTTTTTTAGAGTTCTATGCAACCTCTTATCCTTTTTATGCTACCTCTTGTCCTTTAAAATGCCTACTAGATCTCATAATCCACATCTCTGCCTCCAAATACCCACTTAAATGAACAAAATCCCCTGAACTCTACGAGTGTAAACAAAGCACCTATCTTAACTCCAAGTTTCCTTTGCCTGAGTTTGTGCTATTAGTTGGAGTAACCAGTTGTTGTCTATCTAGACTGTAATAGCATCCAAAAGCCACAACCATCCCTAACCCCTGTATCACGTGATTTAAACTATTTACTACAGAAAAAAAAAATACTTCAAACAAGCTATTTTTATTTTGCAATCTTGATACTCTGTTAACTGCCACCACAGTCAAATCAATTAAAAAGGACGCCACCACATTTAAGATGATAATCGCTACCCAAACATACGTTGAACTGAAGTCTGCCCAGTTATTGGCAGTTGTGGTACACTCCGTAGAAGCAGGAGTTCCTTGCGATGTAGTGGTTTCATGCACAGAAACTTTAGGTGCAGCAGCTGCCTCGACTGCTGGCTTTACAGAAGCTGGAACTTCATTTTCAGGTATTTTCTCTGCATAGTTTGCAGGGAACCATCCAGTTTTCCCCTTCAATTCTCCTCCAAGCCACCCTGGTTCTCCAGTCTGGCTTTCATCCACCTGTAGAAGCATTAAGTTAGAAAGTTAAGACATATAACATACAAATGAAATTTTTACTTAAAACAATCCATCTCATCCACAGTGATTAGCTTTCTCTAGATACACAGACATGACACACTTGTTACAAATACAAGTGCCACCTAGGCAGAATTTTATTGTTGTTGTTGAATTTACCTTTGGAGGATTATGTTGATAGCTATTCCTTCTATGGTGTATTAATAGATACCAGATCATTTTGCAACAAAATGCTGCTTCGCAATTTTTTTTTCTCTTGCTCCCCAAGCCAAATCAAAGGGATTTCTTGGTGATGAGGTAAAAAAGTTTTATTTTTGTCCTAACGCATAAGCCAGGTTTGGGTTTTTAAATAATTTGAAAGTCTGTCATAGTACAGCAGACTTGGGAGAAGTGAGTTATAGAGAAATCCTTTAAATATTAACTATTTAACTACCACAAAATGCAGTTTTTAACAAGTGTTCCTAGATTTTCTCTTACAGAAAATAAAAAAACCACCCACAGTATAGTAAAAACAATACCAGTCAAACCATTCAAAACAAATCCACAGATTTGGTAATGTATTTATACAAAACAATTCCATGCTAAGTTTTCATGGGTAGATTTTGTTCTTTCCTCCAACTCCAGTATCTCTGCCAAGCCATAAAGGACAGGATGGAACAGGGCTATTTTTGCAGCTGAAATTTAATTCCTGCTTATTGATTATTATAATTGCGTTAATTGGTACAAGTTTGCAACTTTCATACCTTCCTGTTAACTTTTCTTAAACATTTCACACATTTGGTCTCCAAGCTTTACTGGCAGACTGTCTTAGTCTGCTACCTCAACAAAAGTGTTGAATTTTAGCTTAAATTCTGTGAGCTGCAGCTAACCACATTCAGCAAGAACTGCAGAAGAAAAATCATTCACTGTCGCTACTCCGATGAGTTGATATGGTAGCTAACATCTCCAAGGCAACGCCAGTTGCAGAAACTTTTTAGAAGAAAAAAGGTAGTAACTGTATTTGGTAATAATTTCGGTAAATTTGGTATTCTAGCTATCTAATCTCTTTGATAGGTCAAAAGAATCTCAGTTTTCAAGCAAACTCTTACATATGAATAGGGTCTGCACCTTTGACATGTAAATAACACCTACTTTGTACCACAATCTGCTGTGCATAGCTGCAGATTCCCCAGCAATGGTCAAGTCAGCAGTAAAACCAGGCCAGTAATAAAAAGTCAGATGACCAACCCTACACTGTGGCTGGTTTTTGGCAAGGATTTCTGTCATCTGTTTAGGCCAGTAGCAATCAGTATTTCAAAATATGTAAGAGTTTCAAACGGCTGCATAACTCAAGAGTTGACTGTGGCAGATAACAAGCAGTACAGCAGTCAGAGATGCTGAAATTTGTACTTCTAAATCACCTGATTTTATTTCCTTAAAACCCATTATCAGTGTGAGGGATTTATTGATAACAACATGCTTCATGAGCTAAGGAATAAGAAATAGTATTGTTTTCAGTCAAAGGAATTTTCAGTATATGACATTATACAAAACCAGCACATAGTGTCTCGAGCTAGATGCTTCTACAGTTGGAAACACACCTACAAGTTTATCGTATTGATTTTAACAAAATAGAACCCAATCAGCTGCATGTTTGGAGAAAAAAAAATAGTGGCAAAAAGAATTATCTGTGGCAATGGTGGAAACCAGTCACTCAAGCCTAATGTGGGACCACTCTTTTGCCTAGAAGTAGCTGAAGCAGTAAAGCTTCTGCCTCATATTGTCCCTGGACTTCTCACTTGAGCAGCTGATAGATTGCTTTGCCTTAGAGCAGTTGATGACTCTGCCTGCCTCCTATTGTAATCTGTATCCCACATCGCTCTTGTGGTGCAAAACAATCCATTCTTTCTGCTTTTTGTTGGGTCTACCTTCTGTCTCAGTCCCTATTAACTCAAAGCAAACCCAGAAATAAATGGACTACATGCTTGACCGGTTCAAAGTGGTTATACTGCAGTGCAGAGCAAAAATTCCACTGCAGCACTGAATAGGCTTGTTAAAGCAGCAGTATGAGTGATGGAAGGTCACAGCAGAGGGTGAATCTCGGGAGACAGAGGGAGAAATGGATTATCAGCACCTGATGCCAAGTGGAACAATCTAAACAGTAATAACAGTCACATAGCTTCTACCCATTCAGTTGGTCAGGCAGTAACTAGAATCATTGCCATACGAAAGAATCAGGACTGAAAAGCCCAAAATCTGTTATGGCGATGTTCTAAAAAGGGCATCTTTGACGTGAATCACAGTCATACAGAAATGACACTGATTTTTCAGAAAGAAGTGTTTTGTACAAGCAGAGAAAAAAATAAAAAAACCAACCTACTAAAGGATTTTAAATACAAAGGATTTAATGTCTCTTTAGAAGACAGTTTTAAGTTAAAATAATTCATAAAACAGCCCACTTATGCTTACCCAATCCAATTAAGTTTTCTATGTATACGCATGAAAAGGTACTTTGAAAGATAGTAACTCCATAATACATTAAAAATCTGGTTTCTCAGTTATTCATATAAAATATAATTTGCATCTGGTTTTGTAGTACTGGTACAAGCAGTAGTACTTCCAGTACAGTACTGGAAGTTTAAATAAATTCCTCTGAACCTTTTGAAACTTCATTTGTTCTAATTTCCTTATATTTTTACACCCACCATCCCCAAGTTCCTATGACAAACTATCCCAGACTATTTTTTCCGAAACACAACTAGACTTTAAATGTACACCCGAGCAGTGAATTACAGTATATGTGGTTTTCTTTTTTATTTATTCAATCGTACTTTAGAGCTATGGCTTACAACTACTTATTTACAGCAGCTGAACGCAACAGACAGGAGTACCAGCAACACAACTCTTTGCAGCAGAAGCAACAGTGCCTCTGTCAAGAGACGGGCTTGGCTTTGCAGTGGCTTACTCCACTTTGACCTGGCTCGTGTATCACCAGCAGTGCACGCACACAAAAAGAGAAGCCCTGTTTTGGGGTATTTACTCTGCGTATGAAGCCAAACCCTAATACTCTCAGAAAAAGTATTTAATCAAAGCTAAACAGAGTACCATCATCTGTTTTGTTCAACTATCTATCCATTAACTGACCATTTTAAATCCATTTCACTTGTAGGCTTTTGATCCAGATATTTTGAGACTACTGGAATTCCTGTGACAACGTTGAATATAAGCCTTGCAGGCCAGAGGCTGTGTGCTGGTTACGCCTACGCAAGATCTAACACAATGAGGCTGCCTGTGTGTCTAACACAAAGAACGCTCATTCTAACTCTCGCAATCAAGTACTAACAAAACTGACAAAAAACTATCATTATGAAATTGTTTTAGACTTTCCACAGAAGCGTCTTTATGAACTTCCTGTTTAACTTATGTTCTCCTGCTATCAGAGCCACTAGAGCTCAGTAATTCAATAATTCACCTGTATTTCATTGAATTATGCTTATTTATTATATAAAATATTATCAGCAACAACAGGATCCATTCATTTACTTCAAGCTGGAGCTTAACAGCAGCAAATGCCAGCAGGACTTATTTTCTAAGAGAACTATCCAAAGGAAAAGAATTTCATACATTGTATACATATATTCATACCCACAATAGAAACTTAACTGCTTGAACAGACAGAGCCCTGAAAAAGGCATGGCTTTCTTGGCTCAGAATATTTGTTCCCAGACAAAAGCCTGGTTAAGTTATAGTTAGGATTATAAATCAATCTAGCTCACAGGGAAAGAAATTTGAAGTACATAGAAAGGTTAGAAACAGAGAAAGCAGAAATTTAAGAGAGAAACATAAAAATCCTTTAATTAAAAAGTGGAGGGATCAAAAAAAATACAGCCCACATCCCAAGCACTCTTTAAAGCATTACACAATATACATCAGTGCTACAAACAAGTAACACGTGTACTGGAAAGTCAGGAAGAAGAAAACCCTCCTCATCTATACTTCTGCAAATACTTTTTGTCTCAGGACAAGCCCTCATCCTTCTCCCTCATTTCCACCACGACAGGTCTCAAGATTCATGCACAGTGTAAAAGTGCATTACACTGCTGTGAAGACTATTTACAAGCTATACATCTATTAAAGCCAGACGTCATTCTGACATAATGAATTCTGCAGTCCTATTTACATCCAGGATTTCGGCCTGCTGCCCATGTGCGCAGTCAATGGGTTTGCGCTTCAGCTGGGTTCTTTGCTCACAACAGTTACAGTTTGGGTGGTATCTCCTGTACAGCAATAGGGTTACAGGACATGATTTCACAAGCCTGCACACGCGAAGCCATTTACAGTGTTAAAATGGTAAAGTGCTACATTTATCTATGTTAGAACACAGTTATTCTGAGCAATATTTATTTTGTTGCACAAAGTAAGCTCCTAAGTGTACAGATCAGCATAACCACAGAGTTGCATTTATGTCATAAATGAGAAATTAGACACACTTTAACATGTAAGCTTGTAAATTACTATTTTCCAAAAAACATAACTGACTTGAACCTTTTAGGACCACAAGACACAACAAACATTTAAGGACAGAGAAGAGTCTAGGAGTCCAAATGCCCATTATCAAAAGTAAGTTGTGATCTGTTGCACTTAAATTACTTTTGACAGTGTGAGCTAGTTTGTTAATTTTACCCTAGATGAATTCAAAACACAAGTAAACTACACAGTAACAAAATCTACGTTTATGAAAATGAATAAATTGCATTGACTTCCTAACAGTCATATAGCGCACTTACCCATTCCCTTTTAACCTCCATCAGGAAAGCAATGATTTAAAGCAAGGCAGAATTATAACACATTTCAAGAAAGTGTTTTTTGTATTAACTTTTCTAAGAGTAGCCCATTTAAGCAATTACTACAGAGCAGGAGATAAATCCCACAAGAATCAGTCGTCAGGTTTAATTATTGTCAAAAGTAAGCTAAATAAAGAAAACTGAGAGTAGTCACTCCACTTTTGTAGAGTAAGTTAAAATTAAGTCCAAAAGTAACATATAGGAAGACTCAGATTACCTCAAAGCCTCTGCTTAAAACATGCTAAGTGTTCCTTAAAATCATGTATTTTTGGCAAAAAGATTTCCCCGCAAGCCCACCTAATGGCGATCACCCTTCCTCAAGGAAAAAAAAGTTTACGTCTATGCCTAGGGAACAAGCTATTTCCCAAGACAGCATTTTTCAATAGCCTAGGGAGACCCATGTACCTGCCTCCTCTCTCAGGTAACAGTTGACTGACCAATGCTATTTCTTGATGTGGAATAACACCACATTACACCGTTATTCAGAACGGCCCTGGGCCTCTTCCAGAGTCATTCAGTAATGCTACTAATCTAGGATTTGCCTTTTGTTTTCCAGAAGTAGATTCTAATTTCATAAACACTTTGGTGTAACACAGCTGAACCAATTTTAAAAAAACAACAAACAAAACCAAAAAAACCCCACCACCCCAACAAACTAAAACGGCTGAGATATGAAGGTTCATTTCCCCAGAATATATGCTTTAAAAAAAAAAAAACAAACATTATCATTACATAACTTATGAGAGTCTACAAAGGGTAATTTTTCCAAAATCCTTTCTTACTGAACTGTGCCAAAACACAATAGCTCTTAAAATCTATTTTCTTTGGCAGAATGCTGTAATTAATATACTTTTCCACGGCGAACAAGTATCATTTAATAGTTACACTACAAATTCGCATTATGAATAGACATATACATGTTAAGATCATACTAACAATTTATTAATATTAATATACATATTTAATAACTGCAGTCATTAACAGAACTACCATTTTAGGCGTAATCAGAGACAAAAGCAGAATATCACTTCAGAGTTTAACACAACAGTTATAAGCTGACCATATCGCTGTATATCATCATCTACTTAAAATTATGTGTCGCCACACCTGCAACCAAATTTTTAGGTTTTTAAATTTCCATTTTTTAGAAATGACTTTTTTTCTACTTTTCCTCTTTAAAATAGATGTAATAGTATCTCACAAGAGTTAAGTAGATAAAAAGTGAAAGAGTAAATTCTCATACAAACCATTCCAAGTTTCAATTACACTAGATCATTATGTCAAAAACAGTCACCAAAAGAGCTGCATAAAAATTGCCAGTGTTACTGAAAAAGTATCACCACCACACAAAGCCTATGTTGATGTTTACGTCATCGTGACAGAAGTGTAGCCATCTCATAGTTCAGCGTAATTGTTTCACACGGCATTACACTGAGCATCACGTTCTCTTCACAAAGGCAATTATCCAAATTAAAAATTTTACACTGCTCTTGTACTACTCTTATAAAAAGGTAAATTTCTTATCAGAAACATATTTCATTTATCAAAGCCCGTTTTTGGTTCTACTGATCATAGCCACTGCTTCTGCAGAAAATATCAGTAACTTTATTCCCTAGGTACCTTAGAGGACAAGAAACCTCTCACTGAGATAACGTCTGTATAGGAACCAGTTCAAACACTTCGACAGACACAGCCAGCTCAGCATGCTAAGACTGATACTATCTACTCAGATTATGTTTTAACTTTGCACTCAATTGTAAGAATTTATCCACTATTATCAGAGGATTACTATGTCATATCACATCACTTTGGTGAAATATTTCTCTCAAGTCTGTAAAAAAATCTTGCCATATAAAATTCCAATCACACAAGTGCAAAAGCTTAAATAATTTTTTCAAGTAATATCACAATCCTTTCTTACCATGACTATGTCGCCAGGCTGAATAGTGATTTCATCGTGGCTTCTTGATTCAAAAGGATACAGTGCTCTATAATACACTATTTTTACATCCTCCTGAGCAGAAATGGTGAGAGGAGCTTTTTCTGAGCAAAGGAAGAAACCACACAGATACAAAGAAAAAAAAAAATCAAAATATTACCGTTAAAATATTTGAAAAACTAGGTGAAAATGGTGACAAAAATTATCAAACCTTACACTGTCTGTAGAAAGTATATTATTCCCCTTTTACACAAGGGCAAATACAAAAACGAATTATTTAAAATACAATTATATTATTATTTTCTCTTCTAAACAAAATGTACTAATATTTTAACTTTTATGATATATATACATGATTATTTTCCTAGAAAGAATTATGTACTTATGATGTATCATATATGACTTCTGAAATGCTTCAATAACTTTGTAGGTTTGATCAGCCACAGGTTGTATTTAGTGATGTTCTTGCATATCAATGGTATCCCAAATACTTCTGGAGTCTGCCTCTGTAGCAGCTTCATTTGTAGCCTGACTATACTTACAAGAAAGATGTTTCAAAAGGCACTATTACTTACATATTGGCTGAAAAGAGGTGGTGTTTTAAAGAAATACAGGCTAAAGATGCATTATTAAAAAAGAATACAGAAAAAGCTAAACTGTTCTTGTATGACGCACTTCTTATTTTGCCTATTTGGTCATAAAAGTGCCCTCTGCACAAGTAAAACCTAGCAAGAGGACATATTAGATTAAGTCAATTCTACATTTGGGCTAAAAGATAGAAGATAATTTCCCCTTTATGCAATCTTTTGATCAAATATTTAAACAAATATTACATTCAAAATCAGTTCTCTTGTGTATGTATCAAAGCCACTTAAGGGGGAACCATGATTCCCAGTATGGGCAAAAAATTAGGTTATAATGCAGAGGAAAGGCTCTCATCTGAAAGTGAATGTGTGCATAGCAGAAAAAAATGAGATTAAATCTTAGAATTCAGTTCATTTGTTCAGTCAACAACATGCACGGGGAAGGCAGAAGAGGAAAAAGAGTAACTAAATAACATATTGCTACTACTCCAAAAAATCCCAAGGTATATATTCGACATCAAGACAAGAATTATAAAGGAAAGTACAGAAACAAATTTTTGACATCTTGCATTGAGATCTTAAAACAAATTACAGCTGAGATTCTCCCTTTAGTTGGCACTGTAAGTCTCATCAACTGTGCTTTACACTCTGCTAAGCACAATACTTTTATGAAGATTAGTGAAGCCTAAAAGAACAACTTTTTGGAGTCTAGAGCTCAATCTATAAATGACTTACTTTAATAAAACTAGTAATCCCATCTTGAAACAGAATATTCTTCTGTATTAAATGGAAAGACAAAATAGAAAACAATACTTCAAGAGGCATGTGCAACAGCATTTCTTGACTTTTCTCCTCTACCTGCATTTGACCAAGGAGCCTGGACAGCTGGCTTGACTGGCTCTTGATGTGGTTGGAAAAGCTTACTCAGTTTTTCTTGCATTTCTTGTTTCCCCTTATCTTCGTTTTCCTTCTTCTTGGTTATTTCTTCTCTTTTTTGCTTTTCATCTTCCTGAATTTTTTTTGGCCACTGAAGTTCTTCTTCTGGTTGCACTCGATCAAGCCGCTGTTTATCCCGTTCCTGGATTCTCCTGGTGGACAATTAAGGTGCTTTTTTTAAGCCAGTCAAACAAAAGACCATAAGAGTTAGTTGTCCTTGTGTGTGATCTATAGCATAAAGCATACTGTTCATGGCTTTTGCATACCCTGTAAGAGCTGTTTATTTTATTTTGGTGAGTTATCAACCAAATGCCGTCTTCCACAATGCCTAGGATAAATATTCAGAAAGGTTTTCTGTGACTCCATATGTATTCATAAAGAGCGAGGTGTGACCCTCAGACAAGTGAGCGGACATTATTTCATGTAACCTACTACTAAGCGCAGGTGTCCATTACCTTGAGTTGCTTTGCCTTTGCATTTAAAAATCCACTTTTAGTTTTTTATTTTAACTTGTATATCAATTCTGTACCTTTATAATATGATTCCACAGAACTAAGGTACAGAGCAACCTGAGCACACACAAACTATAAACTACTTATGTTTTGGATCTGAATGTAAGACAGGAAAAAGCATTCAACACAATTTTTTCTTGACGGTTATTCAGAGATTTGTAAATGCTAAACTTTACATTTTTTTTTTGAGGCTCTGATCCCTTTTCTTCTACAATGACAGGAAAAATAAATGTATTTACCTGTGTTTTTATATGAAACTTTACACAGGTATCTTAAAACAGTCTCACAAAGCTCTAAAATTCTACGCTTCCAGTATCTCACAGTTTCAGTCCCACCTCTTCAACTCAAGAACATCTGAGTCTCAACCTGGGGATTCAACAATATTTGTGCATTCTCTTCAGAGTTTTCCATCGGATTCACAAATCCTATGCAGTTGTTTTAAGGGAGGAACCATACGGAGAAAGGAAGAAAATTTAAAAAAAAAATCTCCCTCGACAGAAGAAACAAAATTCCCTGGCATTCAGGAACCCAGACATAAGCCCTTCAGTTCCAGATAACTGTAAGGATGCTTTTCAAAATCTCTTCCCACGCAGTCTAATTCAAGCAATCTGAGTATCCCATTATATCAGCATTGCAAATTATCATTTTCATTTGTCCCATAATTTATTTTATTTAATTTATAAAAATAAATAGATTT